GAGCATCTGTAGCTTCAGTTTCTGTTGTTCAGCTTATTTATTACTGAATTGTTTTTTAATACAACTCTTAAGTTAAAAATCATCTACCTTCTCCTCTGAAGGTTCCCCAGACACTAATGAATTCTCTGCTGCTTCTGTTTGGCTCTCCCTCCGCTCCTCTGATATCTGCTTTTTGGAGATTGAAAGGCGCAAAGGCGATCATCTGGGTGGAACAGAGCCTCTCATCTGTGCGACTCCAGCAGGAAATCCTGCTTTCCCCAAAGTTTAGTCTCTGGAACACCTGGCTGGATGATGCCATCAACTCTTAATTGAAACCACATAGGTTTTAGTCAGACAACCAAAGCACTAGCTGTTCACAAATCATCCCTTGCTTGCGTATATGGTAAAATATCAGGACTGTCACTTCTCATTTACCTCATAGGTCATGTTGAGACTGGAGTGAATGAACTTCCCAACACACTGCAGTGCTAGCAGATTAGATGCACTGTTGAAAGTACAACTTGCTCTGGAGCATTAGCCTCGCAGGGAACACAGAGGAAACAGGAGATGGACTCATCATCAACCCAATCTTTTCTGGCAGTCCCAACACCTCTGTTTGAGTACAATGAATACCATTTGTATCTTATTTATTATACTTGACTCACTTCCATTTATTAGTCCCAATTTGATACAACATCCAAAGATAAGCATATTTCTCCAGCATTCCTACTAAGACTTTTCTAGTCTGGAAGTTGGAATTCCTTAAAATGACAGCACTAGAATCCCATGAGACCCCAGGTTTATCAGCTCAAATATTTCCTGGTACCTGTAGGATATTCATGTCTCTATTTCCTACAGATTTTCTGTAGGAAATCTTCTCCAGATTCATCCATATTGTGTCCTTCCCCACTTTGTCCAAATAGACAAAATTGCAGTAACAGCCAAAGCACTAATATTACTGTTGTGTTAAGTCAAGTTTTCCTTGTCTCATGTAAACACTTCCCTTTCTTTGTGCTTCCTTTGACAGCAATCAGCTTCCAAACAGACCCTTTGCATTTATCTAATCTGCCTTTCCACGCGCGTGCACCACATTCTTCACTGCGCTAACAAACACGGTGCTGCTCGACCTCAGCTCCCATAGCCAGGCTCCCTCTGCCGCCGCCTCGTGCATGGAGCAGAGCCCCGCAAGCCCCTCACCGCCGCCCCGGGAGCCCCCGCTCTGCAAAACCCATAGAGCACCACGCAGCAGTGCTGCCCTTCCCTGCGCAGTATCGCGCGGCCCTAATCCCTGGCCACGCTTAATAGCCATGAGGCCATTCCCATCTTGGACTCCTGAAATATCCAAACAGACGGTGATAAGGATTTCAGAGTTTTGGGACATGTTTTGCAGGCAGCATTTTGGCCCAGACCTCATCCTATTGATGGTCGGTAGCAGAATCCTAACTACAGAAGATTGAAGAGTTGATTTTCCATTGCAAAGAGCCCAAAACGTCAAGCTTCTCCTCTCCTACACTGTAACAGAGGAGGTCAGTTAAATCACTCCAAGACTCCTGGAGATTTATTTTCTCCTGAGCATTCAGATTCAGCATTCTGATACAATCTTATCAGGTTCCCAGTAAGGATTCATAAATCGTTTACTTGAAGACTATTTAAACACTGTTGCATTTAAGACAGTCATTACTTGGGAGTCACCTTTATTCCCAACTGCCATTAAATTCTGGACAATAATAACCCCAAAATAAAAATAAATTCCTGCATGATCATTGCTTTATATTTTGAGCCTCTGATGGATTTGCAGCAATTACATTTTACATATTTTTTTTCTGCAGTAGCCAAATATTGAACCCCCCCATCCTCCCTTTTTTTTTTTCAATTGCTAGATTTCAGGAATGGCACCTACTTCTCAGAGAGAGCTACTTCTAGCTAATACTTTTCTGGAAGTGCTACTAATATTCTATTCTATTCACCTTAGGGTGCGACTTAGCTGGATAATAGCTCATTCTTTCCTGAGCAATTCCTAAACAATCTTTATATAACACAGAGAATCTCCTCCCTCTTTATCCCAATTTCAGATCTATTGGAGGGGGAATATGAGTCAAAATAATTCAAGATACTGCAAAATTTATGCAACCACATAAAATACTATTTTGCCAGCAACCATTCATTGCAAATATCTGTGTCATGGATATGAATTCTTGGAGGCCCAATAATATGCACAGAACTTGTTTTCTTGGAGAAAAACGATCTTTCTCCATGTAAGAAACATTCACTTTGGTGAGAGGCTACGGGATTCCAAACTGACAGCAGTTACACACAAACACTCCTTGACCTGGGCACATTTCATTTTACAGTTCTGTGTCACAGGCACAATCTTCTTAAGGAAACAGAAGAATTTTGGCAGAGCATTTGTTCATGCCTGCTGCTGGATGTTTGCCACAGAGATATCCCTGGATATCATTGTAACAAGGCTAATGCAGCTGTTACGAGCTTAATCAACGGAGCAATCTTTTTTCCTACTTTTAATCAGCCGAAAAGAGGTTCTTCTGAAAGGAGAACTGTACAGAACTGCTGACCAAATGAATGCAACTCAAGATTCATGTTTATTCCCTTATTTCATCTCCCATCCAAGCAACCTCTGCCTCTTTATTCTCGAAATGAAACCAGTCAGAGCATCCCATGCACTTCAGGCAGTATTCGCAAAGCTTCACCACCAGAAGTGACCCTAGGAAATTTGTATCTGGCATGTAGTCATGAAATATAAAGGATGGTGAACGTAACTACAGAACCAACCTTTGCTGATTTGGTTTTAATTAACTTTGATTCAGTTGGATTTCTTATGCAAGTACTGTGAGCAAGTACTCCTGCACTGTCACCGAGCTGGATCTCTGCAGTGAGTGGAAAGGGCTGTGCAGTTTATAAAGGGACCTGCACCGAGAAGGAAAGCAGGTCCTTACCTGACACTTGTGCGTCTCTTTTCAGCTCGGTAGCCTGCATTTCTGCCCCCACATTCCCCGCTCCCCGACCCTGCCTGCCCACTCCACCCAGGTTTTCCCTTCCAGCCCTGCTGCCTGGGCAAGGCGCTCCTGCCTGCCTTAGTGGGAGATGTCAGAGCCGCTGGGGACACGGGGGCCTGGCGGAGCAGCCCTGTCCTCACAGCTCGCAGCGTGAGCTCCTACCTTGGACACCTGGAGGGGTCTTTTCTGCTCAGAGCCCCCCTGCAGCCGGAAGCCCCACGGGGCCCCTCCAGACAGGGTGATGAGCATTTCTTCTTCAGCTCCCATGATTTCTGTGCCTGGGGTATTGCGCCTTCTGCGTCACCTGCTTGCCGATCTCAAACCAAACTCCAGCTCTCAGGGGGCAGCGTCTTCCAGGGCCATCTTCAGAGTTTGTGGCTCCGCAGTCCCCAGAGAGGCCCTCTCCTCCCTTCCTCCCCGAAGCTCACGCACACAAGAGGAGAGCCGGGGCTGCGAAGCCCTCCCTGCGCTGCTGGCCGCTCAGCTGCTGCTCTGCGCACTGGACATTTGATTCTGCTCTTGGGAAGGGGCCAGAGGTGTCCGGCACACGTGTCGTGTCAATCTCGCCCTCGGTGTCCCCCCCCCCGGCATCACGGATCTGTCGCCCAAGTGCGGCTGAAAA